TGTAATGTAGGAAAAGAGCGCAAATTGCAGAATATAACATGGGTGTATTTGTGTGGTATTTCAAGAGGCTTGCATTGTGGATTTGATGAAGACTTTAAGCACCTGTGTCTATACCATCCACATGGGCACAACCATGAACATAGCTATAGGCCAGAGACACGCGACTTCGATAACAATGAATACTTCAAGATTTGCACCACCCGTCGACCCTGAGTGAGCAATGACAAAATATGACCCGCTCTTATGTAATAAACTTCATAGTGTTAAGGGGGTTTATTGAGGTTCACAGCGACCGGGAAGATAGCAGCAGCAGGCAAAGCGTAGCCAGGAAACGAACAGCCGTGCGAGCCTGGCGATGGCAATGTGCTTTGGCATGTGTCCATCTTCTTCCTCACAATAACCCCCGGTATCGAGAGGTAGCCATCCTGGCGACCTAGAGATAGGTCAGGGGGTCATAATACGTAAAGGGTGCTTACCAGCGCAAACGACAGGGCCGGAGGGGACAGGAGAAGAGACGAGACAGAGCGCTGAACGACAACAGGCTCGAGTGAAGAAGTCAGAAAATGGTCCGTTGGATTAGAAATGAAACTCAAGAGACAGTGGGATTGGGCGTGTTGGTATAACATTATAAAGGGTGCTTACCAGCGCAAACGACAGGGCAGGAGGGGACAGGAGAAGAGGTCTCTTCTCCGGTCCCCATGGAGCGGCGGCGAGGAGATGGCGAGTGGCGAGATAAGGGTGGGGTCCGGGAGGTGAGATCAGATTCGTAGTCGTCTGAATAACTGCGGCGGGGTTGGCGTGGCGCATACGTCACCCATGGTGGATGCACACTGTTAGAGTTAGGCGGTGCACGAGAGCGACAGTAAGGGGCCACATGTAAAGCTAGGCCATAATGAAAACAAATTGGACGGTTGTCTGGCATGCGCCAAGGGTCGTCGGCTTGTGCGTACTGTACGACTGGGCGGGCGGGTGGCGATACTGGCGGGCGAATAGGCGGACTACGACGGCTATATCCTTGCATCACAGGCCTGGAAGCGAATGTGGCGTACGTCAGGGGAGCAGCAGTCGGAGCCTGATGGAGTGAAGGCGAGACCTCTTTGGCGACCTGGTCCCTGATGATGTTTTGGAGAGGGGGCGCCAACGGGGAGTTCAACTGGTCGCGAACAAGCGGCATCAGCGAAAGCTGACGAGCGACATTTCACGAACGAAATCCTTAATCTGTAGCAGCAGCGATGAGTTCTCAGGAGCAACCGCCAATCCCGACATTGAAGTCGCCTGTAGATGACAGCGGCGCGTGGCTGTGCGTTGTTTGCGCAGTTCATCAAAACTTTGGCGAAGACTGACAAGTTCAGACACTGCGGACGGGTTCTTTGCCAGCAGCATCTGAAAGGCGTCATCTTCAATCCCTTTCAAAATATGCCTGACTTTATCGGCATCGGCCATTGCGACATCAACGCGGTTACACAGGTCGACAACGTCTTCAATGTAGCTGGTGAACGTTTCACCATTCTGCTGCGCGCGGCCATGCAGCCGTTGCTCGGCTAGAAATTTTGCGAACAGCGGGGCACCCGAATACTTCTGTCACGAGCGTTTTGAAAGCAGCTCACGTCGGGAAGTCGCGTTGGTGGTTTCGATGCCACACGCTGGCGACGCCACTCAAATAAAATGACACGTAGCTGAGCTTTGCAGCGTCATTCCAGCGGTTGATCACGCTTACCCGTTCGTATTCGGCGAGCCAGTCTTCAACATTTTCCTCTTCTGCACTGCTGAAGATTGGTGGGTCGTGTTGACGCGATGGGCCAGGGCAGACCAATGTGGGAACCAGGACAGCCGGTTCTTGCTGCGGTTGATTTGGTGCTTCATCCGGCATTGCAGAGGCTGGCTTGAGTTTCCGGCTGCGAAGTTACAGGTTGGCACGACCCAGCAGCTCCACCACTTGTTACTGGGGTTTATTGAGGTTCACAGCGACCGGGAAGATAGCAGCATCAGGCAATGCGTAGCCAGGGAACGAACAGCCGAGCGAGCCCGGCGGTGGCAATGTGTTTTCGCATGTGTCCATCTTCTTCCTCACAATATCTATACATAATTTTATTACAGTTAAAATTACATCACTTAGGTAACCTGAAACGTCAACTTTCATGTTTATTGTGCACTCTTCTGTAATTTGCCTTTGACTGCTTTAGTATCAGCGAAGTGTTCGGCTTACAACGCATCCATACAGCATCTATTCCTACGGATGCGTTCTTGAATTTATTAATTCTTCTCCATCTACTGCGAGATTTGTCCGAGTCGATCTATTCACACCTAAAATAGTTGAATATTCTTTAGCATCTGTTATATGATTTTAATGCTATAGCGTTAAGCGGCTCGTTTCACCGAAATTCCTGTGTCGACGTCAGTGTCGACGCCGCTGGTTGTAAGCGAGATATCATATTGGGCGTGACAGAAAAATCGAGAACGATGCAAACCTGGGTTGTTTGCGTGAAAAGCAAGTGTTATACCACACAGCAGCGCTTCTGCTGCTGCTGATTCTGATGATAATGATGATCCTTGTTATTCTGGCGCACACCCACAAAGGGGAATCGGCCAAGAACCGGGTGGTAGAATCTGCTTCAAAATACAGTGAAGATAACTTTGTCTGCTTCTAAATGCTGTGTGGGTAACTTTCATGCGTTACAAACACAAGTGTCCAGTATAAATGCTTCGAAATACAATATGTAAAGTCGCAGTGCAAGCGTGCATTGATAGCGGGCGTCAGAACATATGTCATAATGACTTGATAGTTTAAAGCCGGCCATCCACCAAAAAATTCACACACGGTATGGCTCATACTACCTCAATATGGTAGTGACACCAACATTCAAACTCCAGATGTAAGGTTCGTTCGATTGCTTGGTATGCATGCATGAGTTTTTTTAGCGAGGTATGAGTGACGTCCCTCACGTATAAGTTATTCTATTTCAAGTGCAAAGAGCGTCACAAGCTGAACGGCACGTCCCGGGCCACGAGACATGGACAATATTTTGACGTTTTCAGCGAGCTCCTAGGCCACGCCTCAGGCGCTCAGTGAGCAGCAATGACGTCAACAACTTTAGTGTTGTCATCACAGTTTCTACACGCGGTACCGTCAAGCTGCGACGCCTGGCTGCCTGACAAAGGCTACACTTTGGTTTTGCTTGGCTCGTGCAGTGCATTTGTGTGAATCCTTTGCTTTCGTTTGGCCTCTTCGCGTGATTCGCCGAGGCGTCGTGAGAGCGAATGTAATTATTTGAAGCTAGAGTCATCGCGAACAAGTAACACACTTGCAGCGTTCATATATGTCTTACCTGCCAGCGTGGCCCGAGCATGCGGCTGCAGTTGCCTCGTCGCTGCTCGGTACGGTGTCGATTTCAATATCACTGCTCAGTAGAAGACCCAACCCAAAATTATACAACATATTCACGAAGTGAATGATGATGAGGGGCGAAAGGTCCTTCCGACCTTCTATCCATCCATCCGTGCGTCCATTCGTTCATCCGTCCGTGGATATGTTTGTGTTCATCCGTTCGTTCGTCTATCCATCCGTTTGTCCGTGCTTCTGCCTGCCTGCCTGCCTGTCAACTATACGAAAAGCACGAACGCCATATAGTGATTTTATTTCCGAAGACATATGCACACCACTCCACTCACTGAGCAATTCATACTGGAGATGGCCACATATAATTACTACTACGACGACGACAGAGGAGAGAATGACCAATGACTCAAGAAACTTCGCCCCAGAAACAATTCACCAAGTCGTGTATAACTACGATTTTTTACTCCTCAGTGTTTTCATCGTCACTTGTGAACGCTGATGACAGTGGCGTCATCAATAGGAATGGCGAAGACATGCCGATGCGCGTGGTCACCTAGCAGACGAAATGTCAACTGAAATTGCGTCCCATTTCGTGTGGCCACATGATCAGAGGGAGTGAGTCTGCTCGAGGTGACCGCTTGACGTGCTGACAAAAACATCGTGCCAAGGGTCAAGTTGTCGTCGCTGCATCTTCAAGACCACGTAGTGAGTGACCACGTAGTGAGACCGGGTTAACTGGCGGAACATGGGAGAGAGGCCTTTGTCCTGCAGTGGACGTAGTCAGGCTGATGATGATGATGATGAGGATGAGTGAGTGCTTAGAAAGTTTTAAAAGATTTCACACGCATTACTTCCGTGGTTTAAAGCATGCTACCCATTACACAGAATTCAGACATGTGCGAAATCTTTACTAATACAAGCCAATTTTATGAGTCACATTGTAGTTATTGACAACTTAAGCTTCTCGTGTAATATCATATATTAAAAAGTTCGCACCAAGTGGTTGAGGTACGCAATAAGCAGGATATCACTACCACGTTTAGCTATACAGTCGAAGCTTAAAAGGCGAAGCCTTCTTTCTCAGGCTGTGTAATAATTCTTTGGTGCCTACGAATTCCCATTATTTACACAGCTATTAATAGGTTCTCTATCGCTTAGCGTCCGATTATCGTGAAGCCCTGTAATTAGTTCTGAAAGAGTAATGATGGAGCCATTCATGAAGGCAGAGATCACATCATCAAAACGAGACATGCATACTCGCACATATTGCCGACCACACTTCTGGCATAACTTCTACAGCCCTTCACCTGGCGTACGAAATAAGTGAAAACTTGTAGACCAAAGGCATTTGGGTGGGTGGCTTCATATTTGGTTGGCTATGAGCCTGCAGGTAATCAGCTGTGGGCAGGTCGGTGTAGGCTTGCTATCCCTCACTAGACGCACTGCACTGCATTCTAAAAGCATCTGTACACGGCAGTAAATATATCTGAAGCTGCACTATACATGACTTCGCGAACATAGCAGTAACAAAATAGAATTAACCAGGAAAAATTTTTATTGAGACATCCCGTCCCCTTTGTGTGTGAAAGCCCGAAGGCTCGTGTACACGGAACCAATTAATGAAGTCGCTAGGCCAGTGCAGCTAGGAAGAAAAAAAGTTTTTCTACTGGCCACCGCGAAGCCGCAGGACCAGGTGGAGGGTCGATTCCTTCTGAATATTGTAGTCGGAGAGAGTACGCCCGTCCTCCAACTGCTTGCCTGCAAAGATGAGACGCTGTTGGTCCGGTGGAATGCCCTCTTTGTCCTGGATTTTAGCCTTCACATTTTCAATGGTGTCGCTAGGCTCAACCTCTAGGGTTATGGTCTTGCCGGTGAGGGTCTTCACGAAGATCTGCATTCCTCCGCGCAGCCGGAGGACAAGGTGAAGGGTCGACTCCTTTTGAATGTTGTAGTCAGACAGGGTGCGGCCGTCTTCTAGCTGTTTGCCCGCAAAGATAAGACGCTGCTGATCAGGTGGGATCCCTTCCTTGTCCTGGATTTTTGCCTTGACATTTTCAATGGTGTCACTCGGCTCGACTTCAAGCGTGATGGTTTTACCGGTGAGTGTCTTGACAAAAATCTGCATGCCGCCGCGAAGTCGCAGCACCAAGTGTAGGGTGGACTCTTTCTGGATGTTGTAGTCTGAGAGCGTGCGGCCGTCCTCGAGCTGCTTGCCGGCAAAGATGAGACGCTGCTGGTCAGGTGGGATTCCCTCCTTGTCTTGGATCTTTGCTTTGACGTTCTCGATCGTGTCACTCGGTTCAACTTCTAGCGTGATCGTTTTGCCTGTCAAAGTCTTGACGAAGATCTGCATGCCTCCACGAAGCCGCAGCACAAGGTGAAGAGTGGACTCTTTCTGAATGTTGTAGTCCGAGAGTGTACGGCCGTCCTCGAGCTGTTTGCCAGCGAAGATGAGACGCTGCTGGTCTGGTGGAATTCCCTCCTTGTCTTGGATCTTTGCTTTTACGTTCTCGATCGTGTCGCTGGGTTCAACTTCCAGCGTGATCGTCTTGCCAGTCAAAGTCTTGACAAAGATCTGCATGCCTCCACGAAGCCGCAGCACAAGGTGAAGGGTACTTTCTTTCTGAATGTTGTAATCAGACAGCGTACGGCCGCCCTCAAGCTGCTTGCCGGCGAAGATCAGACGCTGCTGGTCAGGAGGAATTCCTTCCTTGTCCTGAATTTTCGCCTTGACATTTTCAATGGTGTCACTCGGCTCAACTTCGAGCGTGATAGTTTTTCCTGTGAGTGTCTTCACAAAAATCTGCATGATGGATGATCTGTAATAAGAACAAAGAGACCCTGTCAAAGCCGCGATACAAGTCGGTGTTGACACAGAGGCAAAGATGACGGCTAGGCTTAAATGCGTTGGAACTAGGTTTGCCTCCTGACGGCAAAATACACTCAAACTCGAAGAAAGTTCAAGCCGTAGAACATTCACGAATAACTACAACGACATAAACCATAGCTGAGAAAGCAGAAATTTCGACTAAACCAGGAACTACTTGGCCTCGAAAGATATACCTGAAGCCTGCCCACACAGCAGCGGGATAGGCCTAACCAAAAAAGCTACAACACACTGCAAAAACATATCGAGTCTACCGCGCAGAACGTTGCGAATCGTCGAAAAAACATTGAGGAGATTCGGAGAAACCGAACCCAAACAGATATTTTGAAGCTATTGCCAGGGTTCGTCTAATTCGCTCACCGCCAACAACCACACAAGCCTTACCTCGATCCGCACCCAGCAGGATCTGATGCAGCAGAATGGCGGAATTTCGAACGCTCGTTCTGACAGCACGCGCTTGGAGCCTGCTGCGAGCCTCGCGACCGATAGCTACATCAACTTCGTCACTCCAGAAACAGGAACTAACGGCCAAAAAAGTTCAAGAACGCTTCTGCTTCACCTTTAAGAGTTGCTGTCTTCAACCACTGAGTAAATACTTTTTTATTTTAAGGTGCTAATCGAGAAGATAATGCAGATTAATACACTGTAGACGTTAAATTTCAAAGTGGCTTGCGTCAGTGAATCTTCGCATATGGCTACATTCTCTGTAATGGGTAGCATGCTCTAAAGATCGAGCAAATCTGCGCCTGAAATCTTTTCGAATTTGCTATGCATTTCACTACATGGTGCAAAAGAAAAACGTGCAAGATTGAGTGTCCCTCTTGTAATGACTGACCGACTTTAAGCCACAAAGTCGCTTTAGTAAGGACGTTTTCTGACGCCCAATGACAATCCACGCTTGTACCTCGCAGTGTTACGGTGACTATATATGTTTTATTGGGAAGCCTCTATACAGGACGCGTGTTTCTATGAAGCATGAAGGTAATTTTCACTGCAATTAAAAGCAGAGAAAGCTGTTCTATCTGTATTTTTAAATAGATGCGTGGCTGAGTGGTAGCACACCTGCTTGCTGCGTGAATTCATGCGGACTCGGAATTTTAGGGGCGAAGCTCCTTTGGGTGTGCGTCGTGCCCTTCGTAGTAGTATGTTGTAGTACTAGCTACTTCTAGTTAGCTTTAAGAACTACTCTCTAGATGCTGCTGTGTGTATGTCTCCTTGGAAATAATATCTCTAGATTGCGTTAATGGTTTTCGTATAGCTGACAGTTTCGTAGAAGTAACGGACGGACATATGGATGACCGGATAGGTGGATGGACTGCTCTCTTGATGGTGTTGTGTGTATATGTCCTTAGAAATAATATCACTAGATGGCGTTAGTGGATTTTGTATAGCTGACGATTTGGTATAGAGGACGGACGGACAGATGGCCGGCCGGAAAGTTGGATGGACGTACAGACGGACGCTTCGCCCTACTCATCATCATGTATTCTGTGTGTAGGTTGTGAATTTTACAATAATAATTTTATTTGCGTGTTTCTGTAGTTTTCGGTTACGCTCATCATGACCATTTTTCGCTGACAACCCACAACGCCTATGCCGCCACTGACATGAAAACCGGCACCAACGCCGGAATTTCTGCGAAACGAGGTCTTCAACGCTTTCGTGTTAAAAATGAATTATCTAAGCAGCACCATACCATGTTCATGAGCTTAGTCTGACGTTCAATAGCCCAGTACCCTCTACCATGAAACAGCGAAAACTAGCACAGGTTGCAGATCTAATTCCACTTTAGTAAAACAGGATTCAGCATCTTTCAGAAAAACAACGACGCCGAAGAAAGAGTAAAGTGAGGTAGTGTTCAGGCTGTAGGATGTAGAAAAAAAACAACGACAGCGTGAATTAAGGTGTGAAATTGCTTTTGTCCACCTACTTCCAGGTGCTTTATACAAAGAGAAGATGTGCGTGTATCCGCCTTCGCAAGCTGAACCGCAACAGAGCACAGTGTTTTTTTTTAAACATCGCACACCAGCACGTGACTTATTGTCAAGCGATTACGGTTCTCGGGTAGAGATAGAATAATGATCATTATAAGTGTTGTTTAGTGCTCCAAGGCGGGCGGAGATCCAAATGCGGAGAGTCTTTATAGCGCGATGGCAACATAAGCACCGGAACCCAGTTGCGAAATGAACTTATGTGTGTGATCGAGAAGCTCAACAAAAGAAACATTTGCTGAATGACAGTTTTATAAGTTAAGATGTATATCAAATTCGCAATCGTGCCATATTTCTTGAAGTAACGAAACGAGAGAGAGAGAGAGAGAGAAAAAAAAAACTTTATTTGCGCATAACGCGGAGCATTCCAAATGGTCGGGCCCCTATTCCAGGGCTCCGCTGGCCCTAGCCATCATCTCTACCCGTTGGACCAGCCAGCGCTGATCAACAATGGCCGAGCTGGACAGCAGCGCCTCCCATTGTTCCTCTGTGTTGTTCATGTTGTGGTGTTCTTCATTGTGATGCGTACACTCCCACGTGATGTGAAACAGAGTTGGTGTGGCCCCACACCACGGACATATATCTTTGTATGCTGTGGGGTAGAATACATGCAGCCTGTGTAAGTTCGTGTATGTGTTTGTTTGGATTCTGCGTAATGCCACCGATTCCATTGCTGTAAGTTTCTTATGCGGTGCTGGATACACTTTTCTATTGTCCCTGTAATACTGAAGAATTGCACCAAAGTTAGGGTCTAGGGGCGTTGGATCCTCTATTGCAGTGTGCAAGGAAGCTCGGTAATCTGTGAAGCCTCGAGCCGCCTCATCCGCAAACTGGTTCCCGGTGACGCCCTCGTGCCCCGGCGCCCAGATAATGGTTTGGGTGTATTCAATTGGGAAGTCCTTGTGAGCTTTAGTTAGAATTTGGAAGGCCTTCATACATATTCTACCTTTTTCGTAATTTCTACATGCAGCCTTCGAGTCTGTGATTATTGTCATTGGGGTTTTTCGCTCCCTGCCCTCCTTGATTGCCAGCGCAATCGCTATCTCTTCCGCTTCTGTGATAGAGGCTTGGGCTGTGGAGGCACAACTTGTGACGTTTCCTTTTCGGTCTGTGACCACGGCCACCATGTTCTTTGCATTTACCTGATATAGTGCAGCGTCAGTAAATCTCGCCGTATTCAGATATTTTGTCTGTTCATCTATGTAAGCGGCTCTTGCTTTACGTCTTCCAGCATGTAAAACTGGGTCCATGTTCTTCGGTAGGGGGCATATTTTGTACCAGGCTCTGACTGAGCACGACAATTCCTTAGCTCTTCCACGTGCCTGTACTTGTTCGCCGAGGCCGATCCTCTGAAGAAGTTTTCTGCCGGTTGTCGTCTGTAGCAGGCGGTTAATCTGGGTGGTTACTTGTGCCTCAGCCAACTCATCAAATGTATTGTGAAGTCCGAGCGCTAATAGCTTCGCAGTTGAAGTGCTTTGTGGTAGTCGCAGAGCTGCTTTATACGCCATCCTTATTATTTTGTCTGCTTTTTCTTTCTCCTCTCTATTCATGTTGTGGTAGGGTAGCGAGTATGTTAATCTGCTGATGACTAAGCTCTTTACCAAACGAAGCACGTCTTGTTCTTTCAGTCCAGCACGATTGTTCGTTATTCGAACTATCATACGAACAATTTGTTGAACTGTTCGTTTAAGCATATTCAGTGTGTGGAGACATTGTTGATTGGACTGTAACCACATCCCTAAGACCCTAACAGTTGTTTTCTCTGGTATAATATTGCCGTCTAGCTTGACCTCAAGGCGGAGGCTCGGGTCTGTCCTTTGTTTTTTACTCTTGGAGAACCGAATGAGTTCCGATTTGTCTGCTGAGCACTGAAGCCCCCTTTCTTTAGTGTAATCTTCGATAGTTTTAGCTGCCAGTTGAAGCCGCTCTTCTTTTTCCGCCAAGCTACCCTTGGTTGTCCATACAGTGATGTCATCCGCATAGAAGGAGTGTCGGATGTCGGGAATACCTTCCAGTTTTTTGGCTAGACCAATCATGGCTATGTTGAAAAGCGTAGGCGAGATCACAGCGCCTTGTGGTGTGCCTTTGCTTGGTGGGTGGAAGACATTGGATTCGTGTTCTCCTAATCTGATAACAGCGGTTCTTTTAGTAAGGAAGTTCTGTACATATTTGTACGTCCTTTGACCGCAGTTTGTCGCTGCTAGCCCATCTAATATGGCCTTATGGCTTACGTTGTCAAAAGCGTCTTTTATGTCAATGGCCATGACAATGTTTTCTCCTGCTTTTGGAACATTTGTTAGTACTTCCTCCTTTAAAAGCAGAAGGATGTCCTGTGTCGAAAGGTTCGAGCGGAAACCAAACATGGTGTTTGGCAACAAGTTATTTTGTTCAAGGTGCCGTTGAAGTCTGGCATTTATTAATCTCTCAAACACTTTGCCTAAGCACGAGGTAAGAGAGATTGGCCTGAGGTTTTCTATTGCCAATTTCTTTCCTGGCTTGGGTATCATAATGATTACAGCATGCTTCCATTGTTGTGGTATAGTGCCATTCACCCAGTGTTTGTTAATGAAGTTTAGAAGCGCTGTTATGGCTTCGTCATTCATGTTGCGAATCATGGCGTTGGTGATTTGGTCCGCCCCAGGCGCTGTGTTGCGTTTCATGCTGACGATTGCCGCTCTGACCTCCGCATGCGTGAAAGGTGCATCCAGTTCTGAGTTTGGGAGCCCAGTGTATTTAGCCTGGTAAGGGGCTGTGATGGCTCGGGCGCCGAAACACTTAATATAGATGTCTTGAAGCAGGTCATCTCTTGTGCCTGGATATGTGTGCAATAATCTTTCTAGAGAGTTTTGTCCTTCGCGTTTAGTTTTCAGAGGGTCAATCATGGCTCTTAGGATATTCCATGTCTTTGCTGTTCCTAGGGTTCCATTTAGT